AAAGAAAGAAAGAAAGAAAAAAGAATGGCTGATGTTTATGGTATTTGCTATATGTCGCAGGTACAGAATTGACGCATTCTGTAGACTGTGTCATTTTGCTCCTCTGACAACTGCATGGGGTAGGTTTCTTTCTAAGCCCATTTCACAGATGAGAGAACGAAGGCTGAGATTTGACAAAGGATATACGCAGCTCATAAGTTGTGGGGTCAGGATTTGAACTCAGGTGTGACCCTACAGTTAGCCTGTGCTCCGGACTACTCTGCTTTCCTACCTGCTGTCTTCATGAATATTTCAGGGCAGACAGAGTCCACTGTGTCCAGAGTCACAAGGACCTGAGCACATGTGCACTCTCGCTGGGGGTATTCTCTGAGAGGGACATTTGGAGGGCGGTTTAGTTGGCCCCTCTACAATTTCCCACAAAATTTCCTCATTTTTGATCATTCCCAGGAATCAAAGACACAGGAACCCTTGGAAATATATTCACACCAATTTTCATCGCTGCCATTCATGGAAACAGTTAACTGCCCCCAGTAAAGCTAGTTACATGGAGTGCTAGGAATTCTACATCTATGTCAAAAAGAACGATGTGTTTTGTTTTTAGAACAATTAACTGTGCACTCCTGTGTATTTGGACATGGCCCTTAATTAAGCCAGACCTCCTCCATTTTTCTTCCTAGTTCTCTTGAGACAAGGTCTTGCTACCTATTTCAGGCTGGTCTTAAACTCACAGCGATTCTCCTGCCTCTGCCTCTCAAGCACGGAGGCGACAGGCAGGCACCACCACACCCAGCCTCTCTATTACTGTGGAACTTAGGTTATATCAGAGAACATTGATACTTCAACATGAATAATTCATTTTTTTTAAATTTCATTAAGTAGCATGTATGGTCACATAAAGGAACAAGCTGTTGATGAGACAGATGTTGTGTCACCACTGGACAAAGCGAGTGACAGCCAGAAACTGTCACATATTGGCTTCAGCATTCTGGAGCCTCCACAGAACCACACCACACAAGCAGAATTTCATCACCAGCAATAAACACTAATGGAGGGTCCAAAATATCTTTTTTTTTAAATTTTTTATTTATTTATTTGTGTGTGTGGCCAGCTCAGCCCACCAGGGGCAGGGCTGGCTGGCATGTGGTGCTGGGGGATTGAACCGTGGTCCCTGTGCTTTGCTAAGCTTGTTCTAAGTAGGTGCTTTAGACCACTGAGCCATCTCACCAGCCCCCCAAAATATCTTTATTGAGGCATATGCTGCAAAAGCAGAATCCGGGGGTCATTGGCTGCGACCTGAGCATTGAGATTTCATTGTAAAGCAGAGTGTATCTGCAGGACCAGCTACCTTCACCTGCGGCCACCTTCACCCCACCTGCACTGATTTATTGTTTAGTGAAGAATTTCTTCGAGGGCAAAGGACTTTCAGGAAACAGTATCTTGTCACTTATACTTCATATCTTGGATTTCATTTTCACATCTCAACCCAGCTTGCCATAATTTTGCAGACCTCCAACACTTTAAAAGCTAGAAAGGAGGAAGGCTATACGGTGCTTAGTATACATCATATACAGTCTATAACACCCTCTAATGAAAAGTCTCCCACTCGGTAGAGTACTAAGGTATTTTCTATAATGTATTAAGGAAATTTGTTAAAGTCATGGCAAAAAAACAAAATATGCAGTATGGTGCAGTTTTTGTGGGGAAGCTATAGGTACACAGAGTTGCATTGTATAGTGAAAGGTTGGAAAGAGCCATACCAGATTATCACATTCTGGAAGAGAATAAGACAGAACGCTGATAGATGTTGAAGTGGAGCGTGCTCAACATGTACATTGTATGCTTCTGTGATGCTGAAGTTTGGCATAATATGTGCGTATGATTCTGTAAGTAAAAAACAAAGGTGACGCAGACCAGGGCGAGATGTATAGGCAAAGAGCAGGAATCACGTGATCACAGAGGCTGCAGGAGCCCTTGATGGGTAGGGAGTGGGGATGGTAGAGTCATGGGCTTGAATGCAGGTAGACTTGGAACCTGATTGGTGTGAGGCGCTGGAGCTGGAGAAAGCTGGCAGGCCACTCCAGACAGCCGGTGGATGGCTCGCTGGAGGTAAACCAGGGCTCCAGGGTCGATGAAGGACTCTGTGTGGCATACACAAATTAAGGAAATACAGAGCTGGCATTCAAGAAACAGCTCCTATTGCAACCATGACTTTGTGGATATCAGCTTCTCCTAGTTAGTCACCACGTATTTATTAGGAGGGAGACACTGTAAATGAGTTAATCTTCCTTGAGAAATGCAGTTGCTCAGGTGCCCCTAGGAAATGCTTGCCTGCAGATTTGTGGACGTGTGGGGGTCTGCATATCTGACAATTCTTTCCTCCAACCCAAAGTGGACACCCTAGGGACCCTGTACCCAGAAAGAGGCTGTGATCTCTGCTGACTTGTCCTGTGGACTTAATTCTTGCCCACCACCTCCCCCACAACCATCTGTGCAGGCCTCGGCCATTCTGGAGGTGCCCCTCCCCTTCCACCCAATGACCCTGCAGAAAAAGACACTGCACTGAGAAGGCTTTTTTTTTTTTTTTTTTTTTTTTTTTGTGGAACCAGGGATTGAACTCAGCCCCTTGCGCTTGCCAGGGAAGCACTTATTCCACTGAGCCATCTCCCTGGCCCCTTGAGAAGGCTTTTTATCACACTTGGACCTGAGTCTAGAAGACATGTCTAGCCTCTTTCCCCGTAGGGACTCCTTGGTCTCTCACTGAAACCTAGGGAGAAGCTGTGGTAGGAATGAGAAAAAGATAGACAAGAGACAAGAGCTCGATTAGGTGGAGGCCTCTTTACCTGATGGGCAGAAGACCTAACAACAATAGTAGAGGCATTTATTTATACCTTTGCAAAGTTAGTATCATGAGACATAAGATTGCCTCGAGACTAATGACTGAAATTGTCCAGGCAGGATGCTTTTCTCCAGACTGAGGTAGCCTGACTGCTTGAGGCACTGTGGCTTTGTCCTGCCCTCACACATAGGACCAATTTCCAGCTTCATCCGCTCCCAACACCTTCTCAGTTTCCTTAAGGCTGTGAGGTTTCCTAGGCAAGTTACACAACCAGAGAGAAGCTCATCAGTTCCTTGCAAATATGTTCCAGGCACCTACGGCAGGCACAGCTCTGAGGGCTGGGGTGTAGCTGCAAGCCAGCCAACTGATCTCTGCCCCTGGGAACTCAGGAATCTGTTCACTTGGTGAGAAAGCTCTTCCTTTCCAAGCTGGTGACATTCTTAGAGTCTTCTATGCATAATAGATGATGGTGTCTGAGCACTGCTGAGCCCAAGCAGAAGAAGGGGACATTTAGGGCCAGCCAAGGCCACTCTGGGGAAAGCCTCTCCCAAAGCTGAGTTTGTGCCTGTGCGGGCCTTAAGCTTTATGGACATCAGGACACCTTTCACCCCCTAGTGTGAAACTAAGACACGAAACCAAATCTCCAAGTAAAATGAGATCAGTGAAGTTCTGATTTTTACTCAACAATGACTACTTCTTTCTTTCGAAATGTCAATTATCAAATTATTCATGTAAAAATTATTTTAGGTTCTCCATGCTTTAATAGTATTCTGCACAGTGTCCAAAGCAAAATAGAACAGAATCTCATGAGTGGGGTGAGGTATGTGGAGCTTGAGCTTTGCTCCAACTTCAGTCCAAGGAACAGTGTCTCAATACTAAGGAAGGCCAGAAGTGACAGTCCTTGGGTTAAAATCTTGGCAGCCCTGTGGTGCCTGCTGGCCCAGAGTAGACACCACTCAAGGCCTGGACACATGACTGGCCCTGCAGGCTGAATGCAATCTGGAAGTCTAGCCAACAGGGCGAAGTCTAGGTCGGGCTTTGCTTCTACTAGGGGATGGCCAGGCTGGAAAGCAGAGGAGTAGCTGGGCAAGCTCATCTGTGTCTGGGCCAACCAGGCACACAGGACACTCAGTGCCACTTCCTGGTATTGCTGAGACTCCGAGGTTTCCCCATCATGGGGCAAGATGGTGCACACTGGGGCAGATAGAGCCTCAACAGCAGGTAAAAGCATGGTAGTAGACAATGTCCCTGTTAAATCCCTCTTATTCCCATGAGCCCAACTCTGTTCACTAAACATTTGTCATTCTTTTTTTTTTTTTTCAGAGTGATGAAGTCCTCACTGTCATCAAAGCCAAAGCCCAATGGCCAGCCTGGCAACCTCTCAATGTGTAAGTAGCAAACAGCCCCTGGCCCTTCCCTCCTAGCCTTGTACTGGAAGCTGCCTATCTAATGGCTACTACAAACTATGTTTTAAAGTCAGTAATGAACCAGCAGGCAAAATACTACTCAAGTGTGGGGTATCATGCATGCCTTGGTTTCTCCCAGTGGTCATCATTCATGCCCTCAGCCACAACAGATCAGACATACATTTGCCCTAAGAGCACCCAGGTATACTCCCTCTAAGTGAGTGTGACTCACAGAGATCTGGGCTTACCCTGAATCCTATTCTCAATCCCCTTCTCTGTTCAATATATTCTGTCTCTTGGAGACTTCCTTGCCCTGGAGATTGGTGGCCAGAGACATGCTATTTATTCTTAAAATCTCATTCCCATGATGGATGATGGATGGATGTGTGGATGGATGGGTGGGTGGATGGATGAGTGGGTGGATGGGTGGGTGGGTGGATGGATGATGGATGGGTGGATGGGTGGATGGGTGGATGGATGGACAGATGGATGTGTGGCTGGCTGGGTGGGTGGGTGGATGGATGGATGGATGGATGGATGGATGGATGGATGGATAGATGGATGGATGGGTAGGTGAACAGATGAATGGATGGATGGATGGGTGGATGGATAGATGGATATATGAATGTGTGGATGGGTAGATGGATGGATAGATAGATGAGTGAATGGATACACCATCATCCATCAGTTTCTTGGACACTTCTCTATGGATGGTCCATATATCCTTTAACTCATTGTGTCCAAAATGGAACCCATCACCTTCACACAACTAGTTCTTCCCCATGTGGAGAAACTTCAAAAGTACAGTGAGTCCCAAAGTCCTGTTGACCCTGTCTTCTTAGTATCTCATAAGTTAGTCCCTGTCAGCTGTGCTCCTGAGCTTAGTTCAGACCACCACTATCTTCTCATGCCTGGAATACTTCACTTCATTCGTCTAGAGTCTCTTCCAATGCAATTTCTCATCCATATATCTCCAGAGTGATTTTTAAGAATCTGAGCCTATTGCTTCATACTCTACCCCCTTCTTGGAGTCTGTGACCCTTAGCCTCCAGGACCAAGTCCCCACCCTTAGTTTGGGTTGACAGGTGTCACAGTGAACATGAACATGCTTTATTTCCAGCATCCCTTTCCTTTGGGTTCATTTCCTCTGTTCCCCACTCTGTACCTCACTCTGGGAATCCTGTGCAGTTCTTTGGACAACTTTCAATTTCCATTCATCTTTGAGCAGAACAGTTTACAACAAATGGGCTAGCTAGCCCCTCTGTGGAGGAACGTGCACCATCAACAGTGCTGTTGATGCTGACAGCAACAGAGCAGGTAATGCATGAGATCCAGCTCAGCTGAAGAAAAGCCAAGGCAAAAAAATGATAGGAAAACATCACAGGACATTAGCAGGAGCTCTCCCCAGAGGAAGGGGCAGAAGCCTGGGACGAGGTACACTCATGTGTGACTGGCTACAACGGGAAAGCTGCTGCCAAGCACCTGGTGCCTGCCCCTTACCCATTCAATAAACTAACAGCTCTTTACACAGCTACTATGTGCCAGTGCTACACACAGTCCCTGCTGCTCAGATTAAAGAGGAGACAGACAAACAGAGGTCCTTACTCCAAATTTGCCCTTGGCGTAAACCTGTGTACGTAGAATATGCAATACATGATGTCATTGTGGTAGACCTCTACTCCAGGGACATCACTGGCAGGACGAGAGAAGCCATGTGGCCCAGTCTGGGCTGGGGAGAGGCTTAGCACAAGAGGACACACCAAGGCCTGGAAGAATGCTCCTTACCAATCACAACTGACCCAGGCCGGGAGCTCTGAGGCTGAAAGTGGAGGTCTGAGGAGGGAAAGAGAGCCAATCCTTGGAGAGCTGAGCGAAGCCAGCGCAGCTGGCCGCATGGAGGCTTTCGGGCCTGCAGTGGCCACCAAGGCTTGCCCTGGGCCCTCTCCTGAGGAAGCTCACACTCAGGCAGCTCCCGCCCCTCCATGAGAAGCGATAGCCTGCAGGACCCTGCCCCAGAGCATCTCCTGGTGAGGAAGGCTTTGCTGTCCCATCTCCATCCACCAGAAAGGCCCCTGGGAGCTCACCCTTGGCTCCTCCTGTGTGACTGACATCAGGTAGCGATTAGGTCAGCCCAAATCTATTTGCTCAGGTTGTGCGTTATTCCCTACTTTCTCCTGGTTTCCAGGCCCCAAGAGCTAAACATGAACCTCTCATCGCTGGGTCCTCCAAGAAAGCAGGTGCGCAAGGACAGCAGTAGGTGGGTGGCATCTGGACCACAGCTGTGGGTGCCAAGTTTTACATCGCTAAGGAATCCATACACTTTGGGGAGCCTGGAGTTAGAAAGAATGACAACTACAAAGCAATGTACGTTTAGGAAAGGAGGGAGACATTAAAGAAAGAAAAGATGTGGAAATATTTTCACATCCTCAAGCACCTACTGGGTACCCAAGTATCCTAGTAGGCACACACATATATTAACCAGCTTAACCCTTGTAGTAGCCCTGCAAAGTAAATCTAGTTTACAGATGGTGAGGCTGAGGCTCAGAGCTTACGGGTCCAGTATCATCATCCGGGTCCTTCAAGAGTGGAACTAGAGGACTGGCGAGATAGCTCAGTGGACTAAGTGCCTGCGTAGGCAAGCTCAGGGACTGGGATTCGATCCCCAGCACCACAGAACACCCCCTGCCCTCCCCCGCACAAGCACAGGGCACACTGAGCCAGCCACAATGACCAGGCATGGTGGCACATGCCTGTAATCCCAGCGCTAGGAATGCTGAAGACAGGTGAGACCCTGTATCAAATACATTTAAAAAAAAAAAAAGGAGTGGAACTAGAGGGGCTTAACTCATGAGGTCCTGAGTTCAAGTCCTGCCACCCACCCCATAAAGAAGCGTGAAACTAGAATGCCAACTTTATCCAGCTGACTGACTCCAATGTGTCTACACTTCCCTGTAACACCATCCCTGCGGTTAAATAACAACTCGCTCATTTTCTCACTTTTTAATTAGTCCCAACATGTGTAGCTTCCAGTCAGGCTTCTGAGCAGCATGACGTTAACAGTGTGACCGCACTGGTTCCTCTGAATTCTGCGTCAAAAATAAACGAAGTAAAACCTTGCGTTGACCCTGTGTCCTGCTGTCGAGGGTGACAGAAACATATCATTGATCAAACAAACGCTACTGACATCTCCTACACAAAGCACCGTGAAAGGTACTACGGGACGAGGTAGGGGCCAGTTAGCCCTCGTGCAGCTGATGTTTATTCAATGGTCACAGGAATAGATGTGAGTCAGCTGTGAAGGAATGGCATGAGGTGGCCTGGCAGTGTGCGAAGGGTCACTGCGGGGAGTGAAGTCCTGAGGCAATGACAAGGGGCTCAAGACCTGAGGGCCCAGGAGTTGACCGAGTGAAGCAGCAAACAAGGATGGGGGGAGGGAGGAGCAGCCCTAAGCACCCGCAGTGACTTGTATACAAAGGCCTCCAATGAAGAGCAAGGAGAGGACATTTAGGACACTGAAAGGCTGCCATTGCAACTGGATCCTGAAGGCAAAGATGAGCTTTCTGTGGCACCAAGCAGGCAACATTAAAATTTTTGCTTTTTCCGTGAAAAGGAATGGGAAATCGCTGAAGCGTTTTTTGAGCAGGATGATAAGATCAGATTTGCATTTGAAAAACAATACCACTCTGGCTCCAGTGTGAAAAGGTAGATGAGGTGAGAACAGCCAGGTGGCAGATGCAGTGGGCAGGGTAGTGTTAGTGGGGCAGGGGAGGCATCCACGGGAGGGGTGCCTTTCGGAGGCAATCCCCCAGGCCTCCGTGGCAGGTTAAGAAAGAGTGAGGGAAACAGTAGTCTGAAGGCTTCCCTGGTGCGTAGTGAGCCTCAACAAGGAATTGGTGATGCCACCCACAAGACTGGAGCGTTCAGGGACATTTGATGGGGAAGCCCATGCGCTCCGTTTGACAGCTTCTTTGTTAAGATGACGTCAGGATATCCGGGTGGAAAGCAGGGTACGGTGGCACATGCCTGTAGTACCAGTTCTCTGGGACGCTGGAACAGGGTTGCCAGCTTGGCCCCAAGCTGGGTGACAGAGAGAGACCTCCTCTCAAATTTTAAAACCTAAAAAGGCTAAGGATGTAGTTAATGCAAAAGTCCTAGGTTCAACCCTCAGTTATCATACACACATACCCCCCCCCAAAAAAAATCCAGATAGAAGCGTTCAGTACCCAGTCAGTTGTACAGTTCTAAGTTTCAGGGTAAGAATCCTGTGTTCATTTACGGTAGTACTCGGTTCGCAAACTCGGTTATCTCCAGGATCGTGGTCCCAAGCCAAACTGCATGAAACTAGATGAAACGACCTGGTGAGGACAACACTGAACCTACCCACTGAATTTGATTCGGTCCTCATCCAGCTCAGATTGTGGCCAGGATCATGGAAAGAATCAAGGTCGTGGACCCAGGTACCGTTAGTATAACTGAGAATCGTGGGAGATGACCACAGCCAGAAGCTGAGAGGAAAGAACGCTTGAGAGAAGGAGGCGTGGGCTTGGGACTGAGGCCCAGAGCGCTCCAACATTTCACACTGAGGACTTGTGCAAGTAGGAAACGGGAACAGCAATGAGCTCCAGAAGGAAGCTTGGTGCCCAAAAGCCAGGGGAAGAGGATTCCAGAAGAGCCACCAGCTGGGGTCCGTGCATCTCGGAGATCAAGTGAGACAGGGCTCCAAAACGCTCCTGGGCTTTCTGGACGCGCAGGTCACGTGTGACCTCAATGAGAACCCTCTCTGCTGAGGGAGGAGGAAGAGCGAGCGCACGCACGCATGCACGCACAGGGGAGCGTCCACGGCGCTTATAGAGCCAGGGTGGAGGGGCGACTCTTTGGTGTAGTTTTCTGTGGAAGAAGACTGGGCTGCAGCTCCAAGCAGATAAAAATCAATAGTTTTTTTGTTGTTTTATTATTATTTTTTTTTTAGCTGCCTTTTTTAT